ACTCACAGGTGGTTTCCGGGGACCGGTCGCACGGATCAACTGAAATAATCTCCGGGCATTACCGGCTTTCTGTATGCAGCAAGTAAGGCGACCCGGCTGATGGCACCACGCGATGGCCGATGTGGCATGAGAATATTGTTAGTTGTGTAGGGCATGGTTGTACGAGGGCTGGGATACTGCCAGGGCGCCCACACCTAGACAGGAGGACGATTAGGGTCCTCAACCAAAGCCTTTGGCTCAAAAGCCTAACCGCAAGGCAGCGGTGTTTGGCGGGGAAATGCAAATGCATTACCTTTTCTACGGAACAAGTCGCCATACATGTTCCAACCCCCAACCTGGAGGACCAGGAGACTGTGTTCGTCTGACCTCTAACCATTGACCAACCTGGTATGAGAGACTCTGTGAGTGTCGCGCGGACACCCCCCAGTATAGCTCAATGGGTCGCCGAGGTACACAAACCGCCACACCACGATAAGGTCCAGTCTCTTCGTGTCCGGTGCTGCTTAAAAGGTACCTGCTGTGCATGGCTAAATTAAGGGTGAGACACAAATGTTTTACTCCCAGCGTTCCAGGAGCAGCCCAGCCCCCCTGCAGCCTGGTAGGTCAGACTATGGAGTCATTGTTTCCGGGGAAGGTGTTTCAAGAAAACCCAGACAACCGTTGCCTCGAGTTTCAGACTTATGAATCAGAGGCTAGGAGAATGGTCTCCGCACAAAACTCCACATCCTACCACTACCTTGTAAGTCAGACCCTTGAGACAAAGCTCAAGGTGCATTACCTCAATCAAACCCCTTTCTTCGGCCTGGGAAACCGGGGAGTACAATTCGCCCTTACAGCTCAGCCGCTCGTGACCGAACGGTTAACTGTTCAAAACTACTTACCGGGCGATGGATAGTTCGATACTCTGAAGTTTCGTGAGAGTTGCACTGCCATTGATCCAAAATAACCGTCAGTTTTGAACATACCTTTAAGATAGATGACCGTCGCCGCTACATGTTCAAAAAGTGATGCTTCACTGCCGTGAAATCATAATTTATTTGGAAGCAGTACTACTAAGAACAGGATAAGTAGATTAAAAGGGAACTTAGTGTGAGCCGAAAGCGATCAACATGAAGTACCTATACCTCCAAATATTCATTCAAATACTCTTGATAGAAAATGGCAACAGTAACACCAATAACAAAGATTATCAGCTATATCTTGCAACGCCTCCAACCATGCACAGGGGGATCTCGCGCACCTCAACCTTGAAGGTGAGTCGCACCGAAATCACCCAGACTCCATTCCATTTTCGTCTGCCAGGTTGACTACTTCTTCAAACTGGTCATGTAGAACAGAAGTCTTCGGCATGAAATCGCTCTCCGTCACGATGGAACTAAGCCTCGACATGGTGTGACGGTTTGTGTGCCTACGTGATCTACTGAGCTGTACTGGAGGTGTCCGTGCGGCACTCGCAAGTCTTATGCCAGGTTGATCAGTGGTTAGAAGTCGGACCAACACAGATTTCTGGTCCTCCAGCTTGGGGGTTGGAGCACGTATGGCTACCTGTTCGCATAAAATAGAATGCATTGGCAGTTACCGTCAAACATCGCTGTCTTCTAGTCAGACTTTTGAACCAACGGTTTAGTCGAACACCCTAATCGTCCTCCTGTCTAATTGTGGGCACCCTGACAATATCACAGCCCGTGGCTCCTAAAACTAATAATACTATTAAAACGGAAATGCAATTACCAAACATGTGGCGGCCCAGTTCAGAATGCTGGGCTTCGGTCCTTCACTCAAATGCTGAAAGTGCGGTATTTTATTACTGTGTTCCTCCTGTCAATTGTGGGCACCCTGACAATATCACAGCCCGTGGCTCCTAAAACTAATAATACTATTAAAACGGAAATGCAATTACCAAACATGTGGCGGCCCAGTTCAGAATGCTGGGCTTCGGTCCTTCACTCAAATGCTGAAAGTGCGGTATTTTATTACTGTGAAGAAGTTTCCAGAGCACACTGATAACGGCAAGCACTACCAAGCCGAATTAAGCAGACGGACGCACTCAGTAACCGCTTGTTCTTTTCTGAAAGACTGGGTGTCGGTATAGCGGGAACGAACCGCACTGCATGGACACAAAACGTGGGTGATGTTCAAGTCTACCTACTTGTACTGCATCGGTGGGCCCAATCCGGTCAACAAGCCATGCCGACATGTCAGTGTTCCCCGAAAGCCCTGAATTCATGCACTCTAGCAATAACGTGGATTTTATCGAAAACATCAATCAGTTACGTGAAATAATACCCGACTTCACCACTTGCTGTTCACGTACCAATCGAATATATTTTATCTACTACGCACCCCTCCCCCGCTAAAATTTCCAGGATAGTTGAGAGTTTGCTTCTACAATTAAAATGTACTGAATGTCAAACCTAGAAGTTTCTTGAAGTTCAACTCTCATTCTTCTGTCCGACGGATGAGCTGGAATACTCTTTGTGTGCTCGCTCCCTTTTCTCGTTCAGTGGATGCGTTTTGATCATTCCGAGTCGTCAGTTTAAGGGGAACTCAGAACAGTTTATGTACAGAAGCAAGGTACAAGGAATTCATTAAGTCACAGCTTGACAATGCTCGTGCTGTGGTACAATCGACCGACTATCATCCTTACGTAGTTGCGGATAACTTCTCCACACCGGAAGACTAACATCTTGGCCCAACAGTTGGCCACATCGACCACAGGGTGTTGTAAACAAGTCATGATAGGAATGAAGCCAATGAAACAGACCACGAACTGCGGAAGGTGGCTGATAGTCATTCGAGAAGTGCAGTATGGCACATTGTGCCAGAGTGGTGATACGCTGGAAGAGAGCAAAGCGACTAGGAGTGACTAGATCTAGTTGTTGGATCCCAATCTGTGTGGTCAAAACAGGTCGTCCGTAAGATGCAGCACCACCACTTCGTCTACCTCTTGCATCCGATGCAGTTTTCGGACTTCGGTCCGGACCAATCAGGGAAAGCAAGGTCTCCTTCGTGGCTCCAGACAGGTCGCACTTGGAGAGAAGCTCTTCAATGGAGTTGGAAGACATTTCTTGTTCTGAATCTGTCACATTAGGACCAGTAGCAGCAGCAAGTTTGATCACCATTGGCTCCGTTAAACCGCGGACAATTATGCGCTCGGGATGCAGACGGCGGAATGTGACGAAACACTGCAATATGTCAGCTACCTGAAATATTGAAAAGGTGAGTTAATCACAGCAAAAGTGAACAGGAATAACGATAAACTAACAAACCTGAAAAACGCCCTTTGAACAACACTGTGCGAGGCCCGTGACAACGAAAGTATTGTTGCGATAATCCAGAGAAACAACGGAACTGTTGATTCCCTCAAAATGACTGATTTTTTCCAAAAGATTGGTTGTAGCCACGTATGTGGGACGTGGCTTGTTCTGATCAGTTGCTAACCTAACTGGATCCGTTTAACCGTGAACTGACAAATTACAGACCACCTACACACTGTTGGTAGTTACCGGGTTATCTGGGAGGAACGACGAATAATGAAACGATTGTTTGTGCTGCCCAAGTCAACAGTTGCTCAGAACGACTCAAACCCTGTGGGTTAAATTCACCAGCAGCATGCACGTGGTCAAATAACATGGATCAATATTGTAGGATTCAGCGTTTAAATTATTTCAGCACCTCTAGTTGGGGTGTACGTAGCCTACCTTTGATTCGAAGTCAGAACCTCGATGACACCTTGCGGCCCTTAGCGTGGGATTCAAGAGACGATCCTAAACACCTGATGGTGGATGGAGATACCGAAACCATAGAGGCATTCGAAAATACAAGCGGCAAAGTCAGTGCATGAGGTCAGGTTCTGTACCCAGTATGAGGGCGAGATTGCTCAAGTGGTTAGAGCGCGAATTCACCGACCGGAAGGTCCGTGGTTCGAACCCGACCTCTGCCTCTCGACTTCCCCTGTCTAGGCTTGGGCAACCTGACAGTATCCCAGCCCTCGTGCTTCGGGTGGCATAGCAGCTAGGCTCCGAAAGGGCGCTACAGCTAGACGATTATTATTATTATTTTACGGTCGTTTTATCACGGGCCCCCCAATCTACCGCGTTTCAGGTTGCACCAGGGTATACGACGGCTTAAGCTACGTTCCTGGGAAAAAGGTCGAGTGATGTCGAATAATTGCTCGCAAAGGTTCCTGACGAAACTTGACTGGCTCACTCTCATGAGAAATAGCAGCGAGGGATAAGGTTAAAAAGGAAAATATTTCCATTAAAAATCGAGATGGAGTCAGCGCATATTCTAGAACTGAGCAAAACAAGTTCGTTTCGTAATAAAGACTTGTCTGCCATTCATCTTTCATTCTAACTTTAAAACGACAGTTCGTTCGAAACCCTTTGACTGCTTGCCATCTGCCATTTCGCTAACCACGAATGCTATTGTCAGTGAACAACAATAGTGAAATATGTATCATTATTGTCGCTGTTTACAGATGCACCGTTCCGTTC